GCCGACGATGTATGGGGAGTTGCACTCATGGAGGACCTGCAGCTCTCGTATGATCTGGTTCCGGATGGCCGGCTTGATCTCCAGGTGGATCAGCTGCAAGGCAAGAGGGTAGGAGGCCGTGGGGTGACGGGCAGCAGGCAAGGGGGGCACTGGTCGTGGGCCTCGAGGTGTTCAGAACAGCATCCAGCACTGAGCAGCCAGGAAAACGCGCTCCTGGGTCTCTGCCCCAAAGCCGGGACTCAGGTGGACGCGTGTGCACCACGGTCCCAGCAGCACTGTGCACGGGGCCGTGTCTGCCCCCAAGGACAAGCTCCAGGCACGGAACGGAGCATGACATGCTGTGATCTGGGGAGCCGTGAGGGGGAGAGGACAAGCGAGAAAGCCAGACAGAAAGGGGCCATGGCAGAGCACTGTGCTTGACCCCAACCGTGGAATGCCCCGTGGCGAACCAGGGGGCAGAGCTGGCCAGTGAATGCCCGGGGCTGGCTGCCAGCAGGGGTGTGGCTTTCTTCAGGGGTCACGGAGACCTCCTCAATTTGTGGTAATGATGGAGGCATGAACCTACAAATACTCAGAAAACCATCTAACTGTTTTGAAAGCGTGAATTACTAAGTCTACAGAGTTGTTAAACCAAGCAAGCAAATACTTTATTTCATCACAGCTGAGAAGTTTGGTTTTATTCCCTCAACTATGCAGATGACACTACATCTGTACGCCAGCACTGGTCCGTTGGTGTTCGGCCGTGGCTGCACGCTGCTGAGACACTGCGAGCCACGCTACCTGCATACCAGCAGGGCCCCCCCATTTCAGTGGAGCTTCCAAACCAAGACAGATGAGAAGAAAGGCCAGGCAACCCACCTCAGAATGTTAATCGAGAATCACACAATACTGTCTGACGAAGGACTGGAAGATGGGGCCTCCTGGGCTGAGAGGCACCTGAAACACACAGGGACTACAGCGAGCAGACTCGAGAACACCACGCACCATTTCACTGTGTTACATGCAAGGCTGTCAGGAAGGGGCCGGCTGGGCTGCCATTACCAGCAGCACTGTGCAAAGCTGCAGCCAGTCCCAAGGCCTGAGCGAGAATGCCCCTGGGGCTATTACACTCTCAGCCCGAGGGGCCCCGCCTTGGCCCTCCAGGAGACAGACCACCTGACCATCCGCCCGAGACTCAATTCTCCTTCCACCTCTGCTGGATCGGACAGAACTTATCACTGACTCCATCTCCTGCCGGTGTCGAGGCAACTCCCAGTGACCCTCTCTCCCTTACAGTGGCTGGAGCCCAGCTGCTGTCCTGGTCAGTAGTCTAGCACATAATCCACTGCACCACTAGAGCTCTGACTGCCCACAGCACAGTGGAAGGGAACAGCACGGCCATGTGAGGACGACCACCTGCTGACACACCTCCAGCTGCCTCAACAAGGACCCCCCAAGTGAACTGGGAGCCTGCAGCGCCGCAGGTAGTGCTGTCACGCTGGCTGCCAGCCCCACACAGCGCAGGCCCACGGGTGACAGCACCAGGTGCTGGCCGGCCGAGCACCCCCAGGGCCTCAGTCTGTTGAGCCCACTCTGTGGTCCTGTGGATTTCAGGGGCCTTTCAACTTGGGGGACTCCACTGGGTCCACAGGGTCTCACTGGCTGATCCAGGGATGTGCACTGCCCGGCCTGCCTTCCTGATCTCAGTCTGGAAGATCTGCTGAGACCTGTCCACCGTGAAGTGACCCTGTTGGCATGTGAGATGCCAGCGGCAGAGCAGCCAGCATCACAACACACCTGCTGCAGAGTAACAGAGGATGGAGCCAGTGCTGTGTGTGAACACGACGCGGTCAAGTCCACGGACATGTGCCCGGAGTGTGGATGACACTGGCTGATGGAGAGTATGAAGACCATCCCAGAATCGGGGTGAAGACAGGCGCGGACACGCTGGGCTAGCAGCTCAGACACTGTGAGCAGACACGCTGTGGTGGCTCAGGGAGCAGGTGACACTGGGCTGGGCTTCCAAGGAGGGGCAGGAGGCTGCCAAGCGGAGGGGTGGGAGGGCAGGTGGAGTGGGCGAGGGACAAAGGCTGCCTGTTCAAGGGCATGTGGTGTGAAGTATGCATGGCGTGCACGACGCTGACCTGGCCAGCCTGTGGGGAGGGGCAGGCGCCACCTGCTCAGCAGGCCTGTGCCTTTGACTCTGTGACCTTGGGGACAGTAGCTGGAGGCGGCGACCTGAAGCCATGGCACCCAGCACCTGGCCTTCCCCAGCAAAGCCTCTGCCCGACAGCCACACCGGGCAGGACAGTGGTAGAAGGTACCAGAAGCCCAGGATGCTGTAGGAGGTAGGCTTACACCTGTGCGGGGGTGCCTCCTCACTAGGCCTGGCCGTGCGGCATTGGAGGGGAGGGGAGGCGAGGCCTGCTCTGAAAGGTGGGAGGCCTGGCCGTGCGGCGTGGGGGGGAGGCCTGCTCTGAGGGGTGGGAAGCCTGCTTTGAAGGGTGAGCACAGCCAAGTTGGTGGAGCGGGAGGGGTGGCTGAAACAGGAGAGCTGACAAAACTTCAGATGCCCCAGTGAAGAAGACAGGCGCACATCTTCACGTGGGTTGCTGAACTCAATGCAGCAGAAATGAGCATTTCAGCCACTCATCTCAATGGGAGTTACCAGCAAGGTAGTTTCCCCTACCAAACCTTCAAAATCTTTTTGTTGGCTGCTGTCAAGCCTGCCTGGGCTCACGGTGTCCCCAAGGCCAAGAGAAGAAGTGGTGTTGGGCCTTCCACGCTGCAGCCGTGGTCCTGTGTGTACTCTGCGTGTTCCCACCCTCGGGGCTCGTCCGCCAGCAGTGTTAGATCGCATTCTGTAGCGATCACAGCTGATTCTCAGGAGTCAATTTCCAGGCCTTTCTTCTTAGTCTGAAAGTTGGGCTGAAACCTGTCCACTGTGGGTGGCCATTAGTATTTGAAATTCTAAGGGCACAGCTTCTAGCCTCACAGGAATGCAGAAGCCCCCACAGTAGGCGACATGCTGACTGGCAGAGGTGACTCTTGCCTAGTTTAGACCGATGACATTTCAGCACTCAGTGGCAACACGAGCCCAGGGGCCGCCGTACTGAACAGGGACACTCCAGATCCAGAACCTGAGGGGCCAGAGATGACTGCAGGGCCTCAGCACCATGGCTCAGGGGCGTCATGGAGTCCTCTGGGGTGAGGCACACGTGCGCCCAGAGGTGCCTATGAAGAAAGGCTATGTGCTTCTCAAACATTCCCACTGAGAACTTGCTGGAACCCAGCTCCACGGTGACACGCGGGTCTGCACGGGTCCAGGTGGACACAATTCTCTGGAGGGGAGGGTGTGTGAGGAGCGAGGATAATAAGCGAGGGTGGGGAGAGACATTAGCGGGCACCTGTGCGGCTGACGACAGCCTGCAGGGCAGGTGTAACTGGCCGGCCTGGCTGAGGAGCAGGTTTGTCTTTGGGCCAGTCCAGGGACGCTCCCTATGGAGTGGGCTCCCAGGTCCTCCCATCCACCTTCCCCTTCCCTCACCCAGGCCATGGGGCCTAACTGATGAGGTAAGCAGACACCGAGGACGCGATGCTGCCCCATGTCTGCTGCAGGGAGAGGAGAAAAGGGACAGCAAACGCAGGAGTGGAGGATCCCATCACAAACCCCATCGAGTGCTGGGTCGGGAATGATCCAGGTGATGGGAAAAGCAGCTCCAGGCTCCTGGAGAGAAAGAGCTGGCGTGCTGACTGTCTCGGAGGCACCTCCATGGTCCCGTGGGGTCGTTATGCACGGTAGTCAACCTGACAGCATCAGCAGCGTGAAGTGATTCTGAGGCTCCCCCCGCCGCCACGCTGGCTAGGAGAGCATAGACAGCCAGGGGCATGCTGGCAACCACACTGCTGCTGGGCCTTCCAGAAGCTTCTCCCAACCCCCCCCCCCTCTACCTCTGGGCAGCTTGTCTTGAAGATCTGATAAGTGAGTCTGTCCTGGAGCTCGGAATGCCTGGAATCCAGTCTTCCCTGGGGAAGCAAGAATTCCACCCAGCAGTCGGGATGGCTGGGCAGAGGCTGCTGTCTGCTGAAGTATTTTTTGAGAAGGGGGACGCCAAAGCAAGACGTGGCAGTCCACTCGAGTGGGGCCGGAGGCCTTGGAAACCCCACTGGGCAGTTCTACTCTGTCCTAGAGGGTTTCAAGAGTGGGAATCTGATCCCCAGCAGTGCAGAGACGCACGGGGATGCAAAATGCCCAGGGCTGAATTTCAAATTTCCCATCTTCAGGGTAAGCCAGATGCCACGCAACACTCAAGGGAAACTGGTCTCACAGGGAACCTGCATTCACAGGACCGCAAGGAGCCCCGGCCTGGGCCTGGCTCAGCTCCTGGTCCCTCAGGGGCTGCAGTCCACAGCACAGGGGTCAGCAGGCAGGAGACCTTCCTGTGCAAGTTAGGAACGGATGCACCCTGTGCCAACACTGTGCGGGGAACGTGGTCACTCATACCAGCAAGCTGACAAGACAGTGGGCTCTCAGGAGGAAGCGGCCTCCTGTGTCTAGGAGGAGACCGTGCAGGCTGAGCTCAACTAGGAGCTGCACGCGGGGGTGCTCAGGAGCGAGTCACCCCAAAGAGCGACTCACAGGGCCGCCAAGTCACCATCGACTCAAGGGCACCTAAAAGCAGTTCTGCCCAGTGGTACAATGCGTGCCTCCTGCACAGGACGTCTGTATTCAATTCCCAGCCAGGGCACCTTGTGACTTACGGGGCGTACAACCAGAGACACGTGTGAATTAAAGTAAGACCACCGAGGCTTTGCTCCTACTTCTGACACACGGGGACCCCAGCTGTTACAGGGGAGGGCCATACTTCATGCCGTTTTCATGTTTAAGAAAGCGGATCATCAGGCAGCGGCAAGGGGTGGGTCTGAACTGTCAACTTCTCTGTTGTAAACAGTGCACTCACAGAAGGTGCAAACAGTCCATAGAGTCCCATGTACACACAACCCGGCTTGCCCAAGGGGACGTCACGCGTTAATGTCACACTCAGGAGTAAGACGGAGATAACCTAATGCAGTCACAAAACTTGTCCCTTCCGGGTTCTGCAGCGTGTCGGAGTGGAACTGCACTCGGCAGCCTCTCCTTCCGAGGCACTGCTGTGCGGACTCAACCTTCCCAGCTCTCCTTAGCAGCTGCCACTCAGGGACCTCATCCCCCAACTTTAAACTCCCACACCTTAAACTCCAGGCTGCAACAAAGCTGTAGAGAAACACCCCCACCCCAGAAGTCAGGGCCCCAGCTCACTCGTGTCTTTCCGTGGGTGCCCTGTGCTTTGAACCTACACGTACCAGGTCCACCTTGACTTCACAGCATGCCTGCGACCTGGTCTGGCTGACCACTGTCCCACTCTCAAATGGTCTGGGGCCAGCAGAATCACGATTTTTTCCTTTTGTTGCCCAGGCTGCAGGCAAAGCAGACCAAGACACCATGCTGTTCTGGTTTGAAGGCAACGGCCTGCAGCGTGGGGACCAAAATAGAAAGTGCTCGGCTACAGATGTCTGGAGGGAGGACGTGCTTAGAGGGAGAGGAGAACCATCTGCAATGCTGAATGCCACCTGGAACCACATACACCCTCTTCACAAAGACCCTTCAGTGCTGCCGGACCCCTGGATGTTCAAGAAGGCTGAACGGATGCATCTCTATGTACTCAACGGTGTCTAAGCAGAAAGGGCTCTGACAAATTTAGCTATAAGCCACTCATGTGGATGCAGGTGGCTCAGAGGCAGAGCGCTTCTCCCACGCAGGAGGCCCAGGTTCAACTCCTGGCCAATGCCTGTCTCTGCAGAGACACCAGTCATCTGTCCATGAAGGCCTGCACATTGCCAGGAAGCACAAGAGGTTCCAGTGGTGCTTCCAGACTAAGAACTAGGAAGAAAGGCCGGGCCATCTAATTCTGATAATCAGATACTGAGAACCCCGTGGAGCACGATGGCCTGATGCCTGACTACGGGGTTGACACAGGACCAGGCAGCCTTTTCCCTGGGGACTGACTGGGGGTTCCCAAGAGTCCAGGCGGCCTTGACAGCAGCTCCTACCACCACATCCTAAAATGGTCACACCCTCGTCTTCTCAACTCCTCACACCGCCCGAAACAGAGAGGGGGGCTGAGTTCTCCCAACCTCAAAGACGATGAAGGAAACCCAGAACTTTGCACCACAACCAGCACTACCACGAGCAGAAGCCTGAAGGGTGGTTTGGTCGCCCCTTTGTCCATAGACCCTTCTATGCCCAAGGGACCACTGCCCAGCAGCAGCAGTACACCCGGGTCTACAAAGCTCTCTTGGGCTGCAAGGTACCAGTGATGCTGGCTTTTGATGCCTCCACTTTTCTTTCTTGAAAACCACACTCTACCCGCCTCTGCAGCTAGTCTAAACAGTCCAGAAAGGTTTTTGAAACCCAAACTTCGAAAGGTCTCAAAGGCAGAAGTCAGCCATCAAAAGAAAAATGGAAGGGGGGTGCGGGAGGCCAGCTGAGGTTGCTACATTCTAACTAGAACCTTCTTCACTGATAATCCGCCATGGGAAGAGCCAATCAGAAGACAGACCTGAAGCCTTCTCCTCTTGCCTGTTGCCAAGGGAACCCACCTGTCATGTTTGCCCCAGAGCACCGGCCGGAGGGCTCTGCCCTCTGCTGCTCACCTTCCTGGCCATGATGAGGCCCGAGGGCCTGTGCTGGACTTTGGTGACCACCCCACCATTTCCGGCTCCCAGCTCTGAGATCCGCTCAAAGTCGTCATCCTTGAGCTCGCCAACCTTGGCCTTCTGGGTGAGGAAGGCTTCCAGACGCTTCTTCTGCTGCTCGTCTAGCTCCAATTCCTCGAGCTTCTTCTGGAGGTCTGCCAAGTTCGCTCTGCAGAGACCCCGAGGGTGAGGGTCAGCAAGGCTCAGCGGGTAACCAAGGGACGCCCTCACCCAGCCCCCGCCCCCGCCTAGACAGAGCAGGAGAGAGGGATGTGTGCACTCCCCCCCCAGACACACTGGTGCAGGGGCTGAGGATGGCACCTGCAGCCCTGCTCACAAGGTCAGGGAGCAGATTCTATGACACAGTACACAGCAGCTCTCTGATTTCAGGCTGTGCTGGGCACAGCTGCAGGTACCGGTGCCTGGACCCAGGAGTCCTGTCCCCAACTACACCCTGAAGGAGGTATGGGACTGGGGAGCTGAGATGGGGTTGAGTGGGCAAAGACCACCAGGATTTCAAGGAACGAGGAGGCTAACTGGTCTCCTGAGGTCTCAGAGCCAAGAACTCAGACCAGAAGGTCAATGCAGGAACATGCCTCTGCACACACTTAAATGGACATGAAATAAACAGATGTACCTCAAGGGGGTTAAGGAGAACCATAATTTAAGTATATAGACAATTCCAGAACATTCTGAGTCCTTTATACTGCATCCCATAAGGTACAGTAAACGCCATACATTCCCACACACTCATTCCTGAACCAGATTATTAAAAACAAACCGTGCACATTCTTGGGTGATTTAAAGAAATGTTCTTTCTATCTTTATTATCGCTGAGGTGGTAAAGATAATCTTTGTGTTTTTAAACTCTGATTTAAGTAGAAGTTTACAGGGAAAATTGGTTTTCCACTCAACCGCTCAGACGTCGTTTCAGGATGTTAATTACCATACCTACAGTGTAACTGCACTCTTCCCCCTCCTCCTCTGTGAGTCCTGCTTCCACTCATCCTTCCTGCTTCTGGCAGATGCTGCCTTTCCGATCTAGCGTAGCTGTAAGGAGTGCTGAAGTGTTGTAAGAACACCTCCCTGGCATCACTGACCACTCTGTAGGCCTGTCTCCTGTCTGCCTGAAAGTTGCACACATGGTTTAGTTTAGTTTCAGCCTTCAAGGGTGGCTCTAAGTCGTCATCTCAGGATTCCCACCAGTGTCCTGTCAGACCAGTAAACCTGGCTATGTTTGGATTTTGAGTTTTAGTCCACATTTTCTACGGACTCTGCCCAAGACCTACTTTTATCCTGAATTAGGGAATTTTCAAAGGAAATTTTGATTTAGCTCTCTCCACTAATGCCTTCACTTTGAACCCAAACCTGAAGCATACAGCAGGGACCCTGGGTGGTACCAACAGTGACGTGTTCAGCTGCCAAGTGAAACATTCGAGGCTGGAGTCCACCCAGAGGCACCTAGGAATAAAGGCCTGGTGATCTTAAAAGTCAGCCCTATAAAACCCCTGTAAAGCACATGCTACTCTGACACGAGTTAGACTGGCATGTCCCTCGGCTAAGCTGTGGATGAACCAAGCCGGGGCTGTCCAAGCAGAACATGCCCAGCATGGCCTGCTCTAGGTGCTGTGCTGAAAGAGGTAAACAGGTGAGTTAATGACAGGAATTGTTTATGCCACATGCCAAATACAGTGGCCTTCCAACATATTGTTGTTGGGCGCATCAAGTCAATTCTGACTCCTAGTGACCCATATGAGAGTGGAACTGCCCCCGCCGGGTTTCCGACACTGTAGTCTTTATAGATCTTGTCTCTGAGGAGCTCCTGGGGGGACTGAACTGCAGCCAACTGCTAAACCACTGAACCACCAGGGTCTCTCATCAAAATCTACAGGCCCCTATCACCAAACGGATCCTAATGCACAGTGACCCTGAGGGTCAGAGAGAAGAGCACAGAAGGGGTTTCAAAGAAGGAATTTTTATTTTTATTTATTTTTCTAATCAGATAACTCAAATTTATTCCTTTAAGTGCTGGAATGGAGTGATGAGGGAAGGACTTGAAACCTCATGTCTTTGTGTGTGTGTGTGAGTGTACCATCAAATCAGATCTGACTGGTACAGGAGGAGATTGTCCCTCCTTTTCCTGGCAGAGCATCTGGTGGATTCGAACCGTGTGCCTCTGGGATTGTAGTTGCAGCTCCTTGCCACTAGGCCACCAGAGCTCCCTGAAACCTCATGTCTTTTTACAGGTAATTTTCATTCTAGAAAAGATTTAACATAGCTTTCTTCGGAATTTTAATTTTTTTAAAAAATTTCATTATTTTGCGTGTGTACTGTCCAATCGGATCTGACTGGTACAGGAGGAGATTGTCCCTCCTTCTCCAGCAAAGCATCTGGTGGATTTGAACCGTGTGCCTCTGGGGTTGCAGTGCAGCTTTTTGCCATTAGGCCACCACAGCTCCCCAAAGATGGAACGTTTTCACAGAAGCAAACCACTACATTTTTCTCCCACGTAGTAGCTGGTGGGTTCAAACCATCAACCTTTTAGCCAGGTTCTTTAACTACTGTGCTACCAGAGCCTTTTGTTGTTGTTGTTTTTTTTTCAGCACAAAGGCAATCTGAAAAGCTAGTGGCGATTTACTTTGTAAGACTTGTTCGATGTACTAAGCCTTTACAGTCTGGAATCTAGTTCACGCCCACAGCTCACCTCACTTTGGACAAACTTCATTCCAAAGCTGCAGTCACAGGTTACTCAGCTCGAGAGGAAGCTGGAACAAATTCACCAGGGGAAGGGGCTGCCCCCCAGATTTCAGCCAGCCTAATGCATCTGTGCCCACCTGGGGGAGACGGCACAGAGGGAATCTCACTGGAGTGAAGGGCTGGCCTGGACCTTCCTTCCAGAACCTTCTGATCCTGAAATCCTACCATTACTCCTCCAGTTTAAAGAGGTAGGAGCAGAGGACCACGTAGGTGAGGATCAGAGATGGCCCGGTCACCTGAAGTGGTGCTGCAATGTTCTTCTAGAAGGTGTGGAGTTGGGTGCTTCTTCCAAAGGCCAAATTCAGGACCCTGCCTATCCTGAGATCCGTAGACAGGACCTGGGGCCTGGCAGGTGCTCAAAGAATACCTGCCGAACGCAGACAAGGAAAAAGCAATGGGGGGTGAGAGTGGGGGAAGCTCTGATGAGCACATGTGTCAAAGAACAAGGGGTCAGGGCTTTATCCCTGAGGTAAGAACCTGCGAAGGACTGCCTTATGACCCGGAAGCACATCCTTTGAGTCAGCTGACTCACCCAGGTTAAATGTAATGGCAACTCAACCAAGGTTATAAAACCTCCAGCTCGAAACTGCACTGCAATCCCAGAGATGCCCGGTTCAAATCCACCAGATGCTCTGCTTGCTGGGAAAAGGAGGGACAATCTCCTCCTGTACCAGTCAGATCTGATTTGACGGTACACACACACAGACAGACAGACAGACAGACAGACAGACAGACAGACAGACACACACACACACACACACACACACACACACACTCTCTCATAATAATAAAAAAAATTAAAAAAAAAACCCCCAGCTCCTACTGGATGTCAGACTCACGGAACAAGTGTGACTGGTGGGGGCCCGAATCCACTGTCCGGACACAACTTGGGGGACACTGAGCAAAAACCACCCCTGTGTCACTATGAATCTAAACCAACAGCGGGTCTGTGCTGAGCTTTGCATCTGACGGAAGAATTTCCCACCTGACACAGCGACAACACCCCAACTCTAAAAAAGATGGGGCTCTAAGGCCACAGAATCCACGTGAGGACACAGAAGAGGAGGAGGGAGGTGACAGATGTGAGCAGTGACCACTTCCAGTGACCTGGCCACACAGAAGTGGTGAACGGGGTAAGTTCTGTTGTGCACCTTTCTCATCAGAAGTCAGAAGATGAAACAAAGCCACCACCACCCCAGGAATTTCAACGGGGGCCTCCTGGACCCCTGGACCGGGGCTATTCTTGACAAGATGGGTAACAAGGTACAGAAGATGGAGATCGAGTCTGACAGAGACCTGGCAGTGGACTGTGGGAACGAGAACATGCCCAGGGCCCAGCTTCGTGCTCCGAGGCAGTGGCCACCCGACACCCACACACCACAGACACCCAGACACCGACACTCTACACACCCACACCCACACACCCTGAGGTACAGCCCTCAGTCTGGTCTGTACGTCTCCCCAGTGGGGACAGGAGAGGTGCTCACGGTCCTGAGGGCCCCCTCCTCACTGTCCTGCTTTCCCTCACCACTCAGGCCTTCCAGACGCACCCCAGTGTGCCCCACTCCCATCCCCTCCTCTTCCTCTCTGCCTGGCTTGCTCCTTTAGGCTTTTCGAGGCCACTGGCTGCAGAACCTGCTCACTGGCTGCCAGGGGTCCCCTTGCCCCCCCCATCCACCTCTGCCCATCCCTGCCATCTCCTTCTTTCTACAGACTCTTCACCAACTTGGGCTCTTCCCCACCCGGAGGATCCACCCCAACCCCAAACCAGCAGGATCTGGGCCTCAGGCTTCCCCATCCCAAAGCTCTTTGGGTACCTCCAATTCTGACGTTCAGGGACCTCGCCTCACCCCTATACCTCAGGGTCCCTTCCCCAGAACCCTTCCTTCGTCCCCACACCTCAGAGATCTCCCCAATGATAGTCCTCTCTAGAACCCCACCCCCAGACCTCAGGGACCCACAATTCTGGATTCTGGGGCTCCTCCTCCATCCCAATCCTTTAGGGATCTCCAATTCTGACCCTCACCTATCCTTACAGCTCAGGGATGGACCCCAGTTTTGTTCCTTCTGATCCTCTCCTCCACACCTACATCTCAGAGACCCCATCTGCCCTGATTCTTCTGGGCCCCATCCATCCTGACTCTGCAGGGACCCCCATCCATCCATGACCCCTGTGGGACCCCATCTGCCCTGATCCTTCTGGGCCCCATCCATCCTGACCCCTCAGGGACCTCATCCACACTAACCCTTCTGGGATCCCATCCATCCATGACCCCTGTGGGACCCCATCTGCCCTAATCCTTCAGGGTCCCCATGCACCCTGACCCCTCTGGGCCCCCCATCCATCCCCGACCCCTGTGATGCCCCCATCCATCCATGGCCCCTCCGGGACCCCATGCATCCTGATTTCTATGGACCCCATGCACCCTGGCCCTTCAGGGACCCCATTCCTCTTGCTTTCTTGGTGTCCCCTCTCTCACGGACGCTCCCCACCTCCCCCTGGCCCCTAAGGGCACCCCTCCGCTTGGCCTCAATACCGGAGGGTCCCGGTGCCTCAGGACTCCCTTGTCCTCCCCGCCCCCCACCGACACCCCCTTCACGGCATCCCGACCCCAGGACCCTCAGGCCGCCTCCCGACCACTGCCCTCGGCCCTGACGTCGCTCTCGGGGGCCCCTCACCCCCTCCTCCACCGCAGGCTTCCTCTCACCCCGTCTCGTCCCGTACGAAACCCCCTTGGCCCCGCTGCTCGGAGACCCCTTTTCCGCTCCGAAGGGGCACCCCTCCTCCAGCTCCACCATTCAGAGCCCCAACCTCGCGTTCTCCGCGGAGGGACCCCTCCCCGCCTCTCCCCAAGCGCCCCGAGCCCCATCTCAGGACCCCCGGCGGCCTCGGGCCACTTACTCGGACGCGCCCTCGCTCGTAGGGGACGGACCCTCGGCGATGGCGGGGTTGATGGTGAGCGCCGGCAGCACCGGCTTCCTCCGGGCCAGCATCGGGGCTCCGCGGGCCGGCGGTGGGGCGCCTCTAGCCGGGGCCCATAGGGGGCGGGCCGGGAGCGGGCGGCGCCGACGCG